AAGAAAATGGCGCTCTAGTAACATGGAAGAATTTTGATCAATGTGGAATGGTAGACTGCTAACATACTGTACAAGTAAGCCCTTTGTGACTTCTGTGACTTTTGRCATCCTGTGTTTAGTCTGCTTAGAAATGTTGTTTTACATGAAGGATTTTAATATAAATTGGCACTACAACACATTGCACAAAGCTAAATATGAGAAGTCTGCTGAAGATGCAAGTCCATAAACAACCCTGTTGTAGAGAGATTACAAAGTGGGTGAATATATTTGCAACCTACTGAATATCAGTAAGATGACAAACCATCAGGCTTGACTTTTTTAAATGTGAATCTTCTGATCCACTGATAAAATGGCAACTAAAAAATTTTGTTTTGTCTTCCAATGTTCTGATGCTCTACTGGTCTGACAWGGCTTCTTACAAAAGGTCTTAGTCCTCGAAATAGCCTTTCAAAACGTAAAATGCCATGTATTTTTCATAAAGGTGAATCAAAAGTTACTACCAGCTCAGAAWTATGTGTAAAGATGTATGACCTTTGAGAGATCCTTAAGGGATCTGACACTGAGTCAGAAGAAATCTATTATACAACCTGTTTTTTTTTTAATAAATCAGCTTTAAATCAGCTGAAAAGCAAACGTACCACAAATATTGTAGCTTTACTGCGACATGGTTTACTGTCAAAGCCGCACTCCACAAGATAAAGATAGGAAGAGAGCAAGACACAAGCAAAGTGAGACAGAGGAAGAAAGAGGAAGTTTTTAAACGGATGAGTCATCCTGCTCTGATCTTTCTAAATACAAATCTACAGAGCAAAAGGTCAGGGAAGACATCTGGGAAGAAAACAGACATTTTCATACGAGACCAGACATTTTAAAGCACAAAAMAATTTGAAAAGCTGATTAATTCAGTTGATTTTTAATTGGTATGCTTATTTCAGAAAGCAGCACGGCTCAGATGTGATGAAAATAGGAGCTTGTGATGATGATGATGATGATGATGATGATGATGATGATGATGATGTGTTMCATGTTTGTCCTGGTTTGTGATTAAAGTAAATTTTCTTTGGACGTAAAGTCAGTTAAAGCCAGGCTGATTTGTTAAAATCAACTTTTTCTTAATGTATAAGCAAGTGAGGAAATTACAGCCCAAAAATGAACCAAGTCTTAGTTTTAAATCCTCTGGCCAATAGTTCCTCTTTTCTCTGTTCCCTTAGAACTTCAAACACCCCTCAGACAGTTGTCACCACCTGAAATTCTTTGATGACACATCCATTATATGACTTTTAAGTAAGTAAGTAAGTAAGTAAGTAATTAAACTTTATTTCTGTAGCACCTTTCACAGACACAAACTTAATAAAGTGCTTAACAGAGAGCAAAATAACTAAAAACAATAAAACAGATCACAAATATAAAAAATACAACAATTAAAGCACACTAAAAAGCACTTTAACTAAAAGCCTGTCTGAATAAAAATGTCTTAAGATGTTTCTTAAAAGAGTCAGAAGAATCTGAGCAGCGACGGGACAGAGGGAGAGTGTTCCAGAGCCTCGGGGCCACCACCTGAAAAGCTTTATCTCCACGGGTTTTATAATGGGTTCAAGGGACCACCGCAGCATTTGACTAGAAGACCTCAAAGTCCTGGATGGACAGAGAGGCTTCAGAAGGTCCAGTATGTATTTGGGGGCCTGACCATGAAGTGCTCTGAAAGTTAAAACCAAAATTTTAAAATGGCTCCTCAAATGCACAGGGAGTCAGTGCAGAGGACTAAACCAGGTGTAATGTGTTTTAACAAAGAACATTGATACAGGGAGGTCATCACCAATGTTGTTGACTGGTATGGGAGAAACCATCAACTGATAAACACCAGGAAGACACTGAAGGTGCACTGACTTCTACTGAGAATAGACACTGCCATCACCTGCAAACATTTAGGGTTTGGACATCCAGGTGTTGGAGGGTTACAAGAACCTCAGTGTTCATCTAAAATCAACAAACTAGACTGGTCGAGGAACACTGTTGTCCAACCCAAAACCCAAAAAAGTTCCACCATRCAGGACCTGTCTTTGATTCCCATGAGGACTACTTGACAAGGTATATGTGTATACCAGAAACAGTTCTGTATACAAGCAAGGCCAAAGTCATCTCCCATGTGTCCATCTGCTGAGATGACTTTCACTGTGGTAGCCACAGTCACCCTGAGCGCAGTAATCTGTTGGAGCAGTGGTAATTCAAAGAAGAAAAAGACTAAAAAGCAGAACTGGTTCCATGGACTGCTCTCTGAGACCCATTGATGAGGTGGTTGAAAGATTTATTTTATGTAATGTGTGATGTAGTTTGCGGTAAAACGTTTTGTCTCCTGTTTTCTCTGCAGCTGGAGAAAATTGTTTGCTCACGGAATTGTTAGTTTCATTGGGTTTATCTAACTTCCACACAGCTCTATTTTCCAGTACACAATCAGCCTCAATAARGTTTGTGTCTACCATTGAATGTTGCTTGAGGCACCTATTGTCTTTCGACACATCTTGGTTTTTATTGGTGTATTTGGGATCTGCTCGCCCCTGGTTATTGCTTAGTTATGCTGCTACAGGTTTAGACTGCTAAAGCACGAATGGACCACATTTCTTTTATCTGTTTCAGTTTTTACTTGCTCAACTCTACATGTTTGTATTTGTAACTATTTCTGTTGATAACATATTTTTCTTTGTCTTTCTGTTGAAAATRCACCTGGACCAGCCATTCTGTGTTTGTCTGCGACTCTTTCCTGTCCTCTCCAAACCCAGCCGGTTGAGGCAGATGGCTGCTCATCCTGAGCCTGGTTCTGGTGCTTCCCATGTGCTGCTCAGGATGGGAGGCTGCTACTCACTTCCTTAGATTGACAACTTTTACTAATTGCATTTAATAATTTATGTGAATGTTTTTGCACAGTAGCTTCAGATGAYGTTTATTGTGACTTGGCGCTATATATAAAAACTGAATTGCCCAGGTCTGCTGCCAAGACGTTAATCTATTTGACAAACCCCCTTTCAACCTCTATGTGATGCTGTTGGGGCTTTAAGCAGACCCATTAGTAACAGGCTGCTTCATCCACCATGCAGGACATTTTATTAACGATGAGGCTTCCCAATCAAACTGTGTAAACCTTGTCCTCATCTCTTTTCTGTCCAATACACACTCACACAGTATTTTGTCTTGTGTGTGTGTGTGTGTGTGTGTGTGTGTGTGTGCGTGCGTGCGTGCGTGCGTGCGTGCGTGTGTGTGTGTGTGTTTGGACTTTGCATTGACTTCCATTCATTGTCCAGTCATTTCAATAGCCTAACCCTGACACCTTAACCTAACCACCCCAGTACATATTTAACCCTTTACCTAACCTAAGCTCAGTTCACACATAAACATAACCCCCTACCCAAAAATGTCATCCGTGCCCATTGCTTGGTCCCCATAAGGAGCACTGGATCCCCACAAAACTGTGTTTTTCTGGAAAATGGTCCCTATGATGTGGCAAATATGCATCAACACACACACACACACACACACACACACACACACACACACACACACACACACACACCCCAGAACTTCTGCTTATCAACCTAAACCATC